GCCTATCCTGAAATGAAAGGCAGCTATCTGATGTATAAACTCATGTCTGAGTCTCTAGAGCTTGACACTCTCCTACTAAAAATTATTTGGTTCCATAAGCCTTATGGATTCGTGTCTTTCAAAATGTGCTCCAACTACAAATCTTACAATCTCTCCTGCAAGAAGGATATAGTTAGTGTACTAATTGCTTCAGGGAACACAAAAATATATTAAGCAGAATCCTTGCCTTCAAGAAAAATTTCTGTCTTCCCTGTTAAGAGTGTGGAGTCCAAGAAAGCAGGGACTTTCTCAGTTGTTCAATCACTGCATCTCCAGCACGTAGAACAGTACTTGGTGCACAGAAAGTGATTGAAATATTTGTCAAGAAATGATGAACTGGGCACCTGAATGGCTGAGGCAGATAAGCATCTGCCTTCAGCTCAGGTCGTGATCCTGGAGTCCTGGGATGGAGTTCTGCATTGGGCTCCCTGCTCTGTGGGAAGCCTGCTTCTCCTTCCTCTGTCTGCCACTCCCCTGTATTCTCTCTCTCTCTCTCACTCTCTCTTTCTCTCTCTCCCCCTCTCCTCTCTCTCTCTGTCAAATAAATAAATAAAATCTTAAAAAAATGAATAATGTCATTCATTTGGGGAATATAAAAAATAGTGAAAGGGAATAAAGGGGAAAGGAGAAAAAATAAGTGAGAAATATCAGAAAGGGAGACAGAACATAAAAGACTCCTAACTCTGGGAAATGAACTAGGGGTGGTGGAAGGGGAGGTGGGCGGGGGGTGGGGGTGACTGGGTGGTGGGCACTGAGGTGGGCACTTGACGGGATGAGCACTGGGTGTTATTCTGTATATTGACAAATTGAACACCAATAAAAAATAAATTTATTAAAAAATGAATAATGGCCACAAAAATAAGACAACATGCTTTGAGCAATAAGAGAATATGGCATATTTAACTGGGACCAATCTAAGGGCTATAGAAACTAAAAGCATGACAAGATTAGGGCTAGAGAAAGGCAGGAGAAATGGTAAGTAAGCCATCCTACAAGGAAGGATTTAGAAGTATAAGGAGGAGGGGAACAGGAATGGCTAAGGCCAGAGATGGGAAAGACCAGATGTGTCCAGAGAGTACAGAGGCTTGGGTGGCCTTGGGAGAGGGTCATGGAGGAGGTATATGCTGGGGAAGCGAGACAGCTAGACTGAGTGAGGGGAGTGAAGGAAGTGACGGTAGGCTGCAGAAGGCCTAGAAAAAACAGCAAGTGGATCCCACTTGGTTTGAGATTTACATTTTTAAAATCATTTTTCATACTCCGATTTAAACTTTAAAAGAAAATGAGCCTCAGGAAAGATACAAATCTTAAAAAGTAGGAGGGTAATGGGGCCAATAGCCAGTCCTGGAGGCCCACAGAAAGGTGAAATTTGGGTTATAAAGAAGTCTTAACTGTTATAATAAGTTCCATAGTTTACTAAAATTAATGGTTTATCAAAGAATAATAAAAGTCACAGGCCTAAATTCACTACCAATTTTCACACAAAGATAAACTCTTTTCTTAGGCAGAAACTTACTTTTAGTATCACAGCAGGGTCTATTTGATAGATTTTTTAAAATGTTGTAACTGTTAACTAATATTAACCAGAGAATGACGCCATTCACTAATTCTGGAACACCCAGAAACATGCAGACGTCAAAAGCTCCGAATGCTTCTTTATTAGAAAGTCAGAGTTTTGAAGACAGCTTCAGATAAACCTAACAATTGAGAAGCTGTAAATATCCTTGCTCTTTCAACCACTCTCTAGCTATATTTAGCAGCACGATTTCCTTTGTTCACCAGTTACTCTCCAGAACTCCATATTTATGTTCTCCAAGGCAGAATAGCTTGGACCTATTAGTTAAATGAATGGATGGCTGCATAGATGGACACACAAATGAACCATCAAATGATTGCATTAAGATCTGTGAGACGAAATGGATATAATGCTTCATCTATGTGCATCCTAGATCTTTCTCGGCCAGGGCTAAAGCTTCCAGGCCTCCACAAACATGTCTGTCACACCAGCAACAATTAGACGGGATTAAAGTGGAACAGAGGGAATAAGAAAGTTTGTTATTAGAGGATGAGCGTTTTGCTAGACAAGGGTGGTGGTGATCAGGAGACCAGGGGTGGATTCAAGGCAGAGCTACTGAAGCTTAAGTGTTCAGGGCCCTCACTTGCACAGGCTCCTCGCAAAGCCCAAAAGGAGCCCTAGACACGTGTTCACATGGTCAAATGCTTCCGTGATATTTGCCAAAGTCAGGTATCAAGCCCATTCTCCTGAAGAGGGCCCTGAGAATAAGTTTCAGGCCCCACCCAGGCGGAGTCCACCCTGGCTGAGAGACAGGAGGGGTATTGGGAGTCACTGAGCACACACAGAGCACAAGGAGCAGGAGCCTGGGGTGCTGTGCATATCCTGGGAGGTTTCTCATTTCTTTCTTAAAAACCACCATTTCCGGGGCACCTGGGTGGCTCAGTGATTGAGCGTCTGCCTTTGGCCCAGGGTGTGATCCCTGGGTCCTGGGATTGAGTCCCGCATCAGGCTCCGGGGAGCCTGCTTCTCCCTCTGCCTGTGTTTCTGCCTCTCTCACTGTGTCTCTCATGAATAAATAAATAAAATCTTTCAAGCAAAACAAAACCAAACCACCATTTCCTAAGCCCACAGTTCCCATACCAGGGTATTCCTTTCTGTTGCTACAGCTTCTTTGCACATGAAGTCACGGGAGACATTTAGCTGTTCCAAACTTCATGTTAAGCTTTGAAGTGCTTTTTAATAGCAGAATTATTTGGCTCACAGGTGGGCTTTGTAGCCATGGTAAATACTTCTCAGTTATCTGTTGCTACTGTTATTCCACACCTCCAATTTGGAGGAGAAATTCTGCATATGCACTGAGGCACTAAAAAAGAAGAGTGAACTATATCTTAGCTCTTTTGTGAACAGTTTCCTTTTATTTCTTCTTGCATGGAACTAATGTGCTCATCATATTGTACTGGTTATGGGTGGGAAAGCAGTGGAAGGAAGGAAACTGCTGATTATTACATCACTGGTTGGCAGTTCCTCTTAGCTTCTGGAAGGTTAAGTGGTCAAGTCACTTCTTCATATGAGATCAAGGTATTTCAAGGACTGACTCATCCCTCAGTTTTCTGGCAAAGTGCTTTAGTAGACTTCGGACAAAATGCTTGCAGTGGTTAAAAGAAAAAACTGACCACAATTAATAAAGACAAAAAAAAAAAAAAAAAAACCACCCAAAAAACCAAAACCCAAACCACTCATCTTGAAGGTCCCTGAATGACTACTGCCATGTAGACTATATGTGCAGGTACATCTTAGAACAATATATTTAGAGGGAGTATTTTTGAGAACAGATAAATAGAGACAAAGGCCATTTTGGATACATCCTGTGTTGAATAATGACATTTTGCTTCTTTAGGTAACTTAATTATTTTATGAAGAGATGACAGAAAATACTGTTGCACTCCATAAGTTAAACACTTAACATCTTTTATTCCTCAAAATGGAATTTTCAAAATCTAGATATGTTTATTAATTAGTGATTATTAACACCCAGTAAACAACATTATGTCTTGTAAAAACACAATCTCTCTTCACAGCATGATGCTGAATCTATTATTCCCTGATTCCATATGCTGAAATACACTCAAATGGTCACAAATGACCCTAAGCATTAAATAAATGTAAATGAGGACAACACAGAAAATGTGCTTCTGATTGATAACTAAAAGACCAGGTTGAAAATCACATCCCCAAATGAAGTCCTCCGGAGAAGGGTATGACAATCTACACTGTGGAGTAAAGGCTGCCCTAAGAATGAAGAAGACACAGGTAACGGATGGCTCTTTCTCCTGACCTGCCTGAGGCTTTCTGGGAAGTGGAACTGGCTTGTTATTTATATGAGAAACACATAGTACACGACCCTCTGTGCCACTTACACTGACATTCTACTGCAGGATTTAAAAACACGTATATGGACACTTTCTTACCTTCACCAGCTGACCTAAGACAAAAACTAATTATTGCTATTCCATGGCCTCATCTCAATAGGTTGACCACTGGAGATTTCTTAAGCATTGTTATGGTTCATTCATCTTCTCCCCACCCCCCAAACTGAGTAGTTGGGGTGGGAAAGCATCTTCAACACAGAGAAAACTCAAAATATCAAAGAATGACAGACTAACAGTAAGAAGTAAATTAAATAACCAGTTAAAAATTAGATTGTTCTCCTAATGTCCGGGGTTCAATGTATAAATGAAACATGCACAAATACAGATATTTCATGTGAAAAGTACTAAATGATTGATTACTCACTCTTCTAGGTCCTATCATCAGGGCAAAAGAAAATGTAGTATCACAGAAAACACTATTGTTTTGATTGAGGGTAAGCATTTCTCCAAGTTTGAATAAGAATGAACAGAGTCTAAATGGGAATGGATACCTAGATTATTTTAAAATCATGACTGGCGCAGGGTTTCTCAATCTTGGCACTATGGACACTTGGGGCCAGGTAGGTCTTTGTTATGGACACTGTCTTGTGCATTGTAGGATGGTTAGCAGCATCCCTGGCCTCTATGAACTAGCTGCCACTAGCAATCCTCTTACCTGGGTCAGGACAATGAAAGCGGCCCTGGGGGTAAGATTGCCCTTAGGTTGAGGACCAAAGGAGTAGAGCCTTCATCAGGAGGTCCCAGGAAGACTTCTCCCAGCCTCAGACTGTACACTCTTAATCCTTAAACCATTCCCATTCCAGGGTTCAATACTATTTCAGGTTTCCGCATTAACTGAAGATAGTGAAAATGCCTGCTTGCCTTGTTACAGGTTCTTCTGAACATTAAATAAGATATTTTAAAACTACCTAGAACAGCGCCTGGCTCACAGTAAGTGCTCAGAAAATGTTAGCTATTATTATTTTTAATTCTAATCCATACAGAAAACCAGAATGTTTTAATGCAGAAAGGTATCTTACCAGCTTGATATTTTCCGAGTTTTAAATGCTCCAGCCTTCTGATTCCTTGTGATGATGTCTCTCACGTCTAAAGGACAAAGTTAAGAAAGCTTCTGCAGTGACTGTCAACTGACTCCCTGGCCCCAAAAAGGCCCACAAACATGGTGATCCTCTTACTGCATATGGGATCAGCACAGTGTGAAGGGAAGAGTTGTAGGGTGGGAGGAAGGAGAAGAAGGGTAGAGAAGCCCTGGCTCTACCACCAAATGTGGACTTACTTGTCACAGGCAAGTTCTTTAATTCACTGGGCTGTCGGGAGCACACAGGCAAGGCCCAGGGTATGGGCGTTGGTGGGTATACATGATTATTGCATAGGTGCCTTGCCCCACTTACTTAAAAGAGCTACAAGCCCAAAGGCAAGCCTCTTTCAGTCAGTAGGGAAAGGGCTTGTACCAAGAAAAGCCATATTTCTTGAAAAGATGTTTTGAAGAGCTGGTCCATTACACCACACAGTGCCATCTTGATGCAGGTCTGTGGGAAAAATCATGTCAGGTTCCAACACTGGGCAAAGCTGAGATCTTTTGCTTTAACCTCTAGACACTAAATCTTACAACTGTTCTTGTTTCTCTTCTTGCTCCAGTCCCTGTGCAACCTAGAACCACACGGATGACCTAACTCTCAACCACAAGAGCTCATGGCATATACTTTCAGTACTGATCTGTCATCCTGGCTTCATCCTATTTTCCTGGCTTTCTGATTTCAATTGCCCTCATTTTCTCATTTATTTTATATGGTATATCCTATGTGTCACTGTAAAAAGCCTCAAAGTCCCTCCTTCGGAATAAAGCAGGTTCAAATAAACAAGAAATAAAATAATTCCAGTGACGGCTCCAAGCTGAACTAAATTGGGCCCATGGGGAGGACACCAAGCAGACAAGCGATGTTCCCCTATTGCTAAGAAAAACAGATTTCCTGAATGCTCGGAACAAGCAGTGGCCAAGATCCCCCTGCAAGAACAGAGCCACAGGACTTTTTAACCCAAATCTCTGCTTGAAACATCAGGCACACCCATTTCTTCTCTGAGTGAATAAGCAGGTACTGTGATAGCTTTCTCCCCCCAGGAGTGGGTAGGAAAAATCAATTAGGTCTCCTAATGAAGGGCTTTGTGGAGGTTTACAAAAGTGCTATAATGCAGACTTTTTTTTCCTGGGTGAACTTTCCTGTATGCAAATTAAATACCGTTAAATTACATTCATTAAAAAAATAAAAGAGACTAATTTGCCTACTTGTTTTGATTAACTAAAATGACACATCGGCCTACAGTTCTGTCTATTTCAGGAAGAAAGTATTTCAGGAAAGTCTTCTAAATGAAATGTCTTGTAGAAAAGGACAGCTGACATCTTTATTCTGAGAAGAACAAAATTAGGAAAGAGCCAATTGACAACTGTTTTTGCTTGAGCCGCCCCCACTCTCCGGCCACACCCTACGCCACGTTCCCACGTAATCCAACCACATGCCACAATGTGCCTGGTACACCTGTAGCGTCGTATGAGTACATGACTAATCTATCAAGCAAAACATATTATTTTGTTAGTGGAGGTAATACTTTTTATAAAATAGTCACAGGGAAGTTAAATTATATAACTCTGAAAACCTATTAATAATTTTTAGTAAACATCTTAACGCTATATGCTTTTATACAATTTATAAACCTATGACTCCAGGTGGTCAGGTTGAAGCAAGTGTACGTATTTATATTCTAGAGGTGCTTTCTTTTTTTTTTTTCATGAAAAAAATTCACAGCAGTATTTAGGCTGCTTTATTTTTAAAGCTGGGAAGGAAATATATTTTATGGGTTAGGGGGTGTTTTACGTTAAAACAAGTACAAAGGGAAAAACGAATGGCAATAGTGTATTAAAATATCTTAAGAGATATATTCTAATACTCTGCCCTCCCACCCTTCACTTTAGATCAGATTTTGAGGCTGTTCTTCTGGTTGGCACTGTGTCTAATAATAAATTTTGTCATTTTTCTGTGTCACCTCAGAGTGATAAAGGAAATCCAATCAAATCAAGTCAATATATCCAGGATACTGTTCACAACAGGATGGACCAAATAATGTTCCTTGCACTGTACCCATCTTCTGGAAGTCTTCAGTGGGAAGTACTGGGTTCCAAGAAAGCTTTAACATGATTTCTGATTAACTGGATACAGGACAATCACCTCCAGTGTCCTTGTCTGGGCTTCCAGAGCTACAGGATCTATGCTTGTGGCTAAAATAAACCAGGTTTCTACATCTAAGTTTTCTTCCCCAAAAAGCACAGTTCAAGAGTGGGACTCTCTTTTAATTTTGGTTCAGTTGGGGATCCCTGGGTGGCGCAGCGGTTTGGCGCCTGCCTTTGGCCCAGGGCGCGATCCTGGAGACCCGGGATCGAATCCCACGTCAGGCTCCCGGTGCATGGAGCCTGCTTCTCCCTCTGCCTGTGTCTCTGCCTGTCTCTCTCTCTCTGTATGTCTACCATAAATAAATAAAAATTAAAAAAAAATTTTTGGTTCAGTTGAGTATTATTCTTAAAATATATATTTTTGTAAAGTAACAGTTTACTTAACAAGTAACTTTAACTTTATATATATATATAAATATAATTAATTACATATAAAATATTAGCCTCCTCCTGCAATTAGTGATTGCTATGTTTATCAGTAGTTGCATCTACATTTTGGGACTTGGAATTGTTTTTTAAGCAAGAAAGTTATTTTTAATAATAACATTGTGATTCACAGAGCATTACTTTCTCAGTTTGTGTTACCTTTATTTTCATCGGACCATCCAAGGTGAGGGTAGGATACCATGAAATTATAATGTAAGTCCTATTCATTTTAATCTCTAAAGTTTTTTTTTAAATGCTAGATGTGGCAATATTTGCCAACTTAAAGGCTGCAAAATATTCTTAAATGTGCTTGTTATCAAAGAAATTGAGAGGATGACAGGGAGGTGCTTTGAACCCTATTAGCAATGTCAACTGTTATATTTTTGGGTGAGAGGCCTTTTCTTCCTGAGGGTGTTGAGGAAAATGTAAGATGACACTCAGCCAACCGTCCTAGGTCTTGGTGAAATGGAATAGTTTAATGGGGGGTTGAATAAAAAAGCTTTGAAGTCAAATGAAACAGGCTGGCTTCTAGGCTGATTGTGATACTTAGTGGCTGTGTGAACTTGGGTAAATTAGCCTCTCTGAGCTCCATCTCAAAAATAGGAATAATGATACCTATTTTATAAGCTTAATGGAGCACCACATAGGATGAACCTGACACATATAGGTGCCTAATTCATGTCAATTCATTATCTTTTTCAATAATTCAGGCAAAAGCTCTGGAGGGATGAAGAGGCTGGGGAATAACTAAAATGAGGTTTGGCAGTCAAGCTTTATTTTCTCTCCCTGATGCTCAGATGAATTATGTGGACACTTCAATTGCAGAATTTAAATAACTGGAAGGAATCAAAGAACTTTTGCCCTGTAGATTTTCAGTGTCTTTCACATGTATCCATGTGCTCCAGTCAAGGCATAGTCTGTGTCCAACAAGAACAGGGACTTGGTTCGTCTTGTCCACTACTATGTTTTTAGAACCTGAGATGGTGTGCAATTAATGTTGGTTGAATTAATTTTAATTAATTAGATTAATTTATTACTTAATTTAATTGAATTTTCAAAACTATTTATTGAGCTCCTACCCAAAATGAGGCACACGGAGTCCATTAATGACTCAGCAAGCAACGAGGAGTACAGCTGGCACAGATATTAGAGGGATGATGGCCTAGTATTCCTAAGGTCTCCACCATCCACAGCACAGGCTACACAGTCTACAGGAAGCTTAATTTATTAGTTACTCAAGTCAGAGATTCTGTTGATAAATAAAATAATGTTAAATCAGGGATATCTCCTTTAAAATGCACAGGAGATTTATGAATTTGGGGTGAACCCTAAGGTCAAGGTCATGATCCAGACTGTGCATGCTGTGGGACTAAGATGCTTGGATCGGGAGCATGAGCAATGGGTCACCAAGCACTGTCACAGTCTGCAGATAACACACCTGATGCTTCCTAAGGATGAGTCGAGGCAGGGTGCTTGTGTTGGGAGAATTAGTGAGTGTACCTCTAGGTATTGTACTTTTATTCATTACAATTTGGAAGAGGCTTAGCATCGATAATAACTCAGTATACCATTTCTTCCCCCTCTTCTTTTGTCACTGTCATCACCAGCTACGAAGATTAGTAACTATTATGTATAGGCACCTGGAGATTTCCTCCTTTATTACACCAAAAGGGCTGTGCCAAAGAAAAGGGAACACATTTCAAACTATCTTAGGCGAAGTTGAGAACTGGATGAACCAAATGATGCCATTTCCAATGTATCCTTTGGTTCTCTTTGGGTACAGATAAAATGGCATCTGTAAGGAGGGGCAGCTCTCAGGTAGGGGGGCTCTGGATGAGACCCACCAATGCAGTTTAAGGACCAAGGAGAACCTCAGGGACATGTCCCTACAAGTTTGGGAAAATATTTGGGATTTACAACACTCACCTATACCTCAAGTCTTAATCTCTTTTCAGATATCTCTCTTTAATAGATCTCAAATCAACATCTAGCTTTCTAGGGTCAAGGGAGAAAGCTCTGGAAGACATAGCCAATCCATCCGATATATCTTAGGGAAGATTATAAATAAGCTCACAACTGGTTGATATGCTTCTATGATATAAAGATTCAGAACTCATCCATTCATTACCTTACATATTTAAAAAATAGAAATAATAGAAGATAAAAGGGAAATATCAAAAATGCTATTTTTTTTTAAAAAGGGTAAAAATCAGAACCTTAGAAGCCTAAGAGACTAGGGAATTAAGGTTCAGTTAGGTTCATTAAATTCGGATGCCAAGAACAACAAAAATAATTTTTAAAATGATGAGAATAATATACAGGCCAATACTCAGATGTGATGTGTGATTGCCAGGTCGATTTTCAATTACATTTCACTGATGTATTCATTTGTTTCTTAATGTGCTCATCTTGCCCATTAAGAATAATTAGCAGCTTTGCTTAGAGATTTTCTGGCTTCTGGCAATGTTTCTCCCCTTTTTTGTTGACATCCACTTTTACTTTTTAGAAAGTAATTTTTGGATAATATCCGACAACTGCCATATAATTTAGGCTTCCTAAAATTTTAAAGGAAAGATGTAAACAGTAATTTTTAAATGAATTTGTTTCAATCTATATGCATCAACAGTATGTGAGTCAGTGAATTAGTTATTCTTTCAGAAAGTGGGCACACAGATAGAAAAGAAAATTTCATTCATATTAACCTCACTCAGTACAACAGCTTACAACGGATGCCAATTGTAAGCTCTGTTAGCAAATCAAGAATAACATTAGTAGTAAAAGCAGGAAAAAATACATTGCCAATTTTTAAGGCTTTAGGCACGCTTTTTTTCTCTTAATTAAAAAAAATTAGATCTAGTTACAAAAGAAAAAGGCACACAAACATAGAACCACTGCATGATAAAAACTGAACTCCATCAGGAGAGTCCTAAGAGATGAAATGAAACACACCACCGGTTTTGGTCTGCATCCTGAAAGGACCTACTTTATCTACATTGTAAAGTTCTTCCCCTCCTGCCCTTTGGCACCCCGCTATATTAAACCCATTGTAAAACCCAGCACAATAAAGCACTCTCAGGGCTGAGCTTCTGAGGACCAAATGTTAAAAATCCATTTTCTTGGGAGGGGGCTGTACCAATCATTTCTTTGAAAGGCCAGCAGAGTGAATACAGAATCTGAGATTTCCTCTCTGATTCCAAGAGCTGGCATGGCATCTTTGCTGTTTAAAGCAAAGGTGTGTTAATTAATGACATTAGCATTGCTTCCCTTCTTTGGAAGCTCTGTACTTTAGCTAGATAATAATTTCAGTACAATTAAATTTACATACTGACTACAGATGTTCCTATAGTTTGCTAAAAGTTCTAATTTGTTTCTGATGCTATTAAATGAGACACCTGCTGACTTGAGAAAAACCTCAGGTTGCCGGCCAATCTGAAAGTTTCTGTGGCTAAAATGACCCTGTCTTGTCTAATAATCCTTCCCCACCCCCGCTCCCCCCAAAAAAAACATCATCCACTGGGGCTGAGCCAGCATACCTGACTTCCTCTCTGTGTTCCCTGACATGTGGAGGAGGAGCACAGTGAAATGATATAGTGCAAGGCATAACTCAGAATAAAGCAGAGTGAATGAAACAACATCGGCTCATCTTCGGGAATATTTTGAGAAACTTGCGACAGTCTGAAGATCATGATTAAAATCCTGCATCTTAAAAAAGGAAGCACCTTTTGTGATCTCTTTCCCTTGTGTGAAAGGCCAGGGTTGTGATTGGCTGTTTTTCCTTCCTGAATTTTTTTTTTTTAAGTCTGTCAGGCAATTAGCTGGGTGGGGCTCTGTAGAGCACACAAGTGCTGCTGAACAATATTAGCTACTGTGTTTCTTGTACCTCCTTTCTCCTCTCTGAACAGCCTGATAGAGCTGCTGCAAATTTTATTTTTAAAAAATGATATAGCAAAGGCAGGAAAAGAAAATCGAAACATAGGCTTTTATGCAAGAAGCCGCAAAAATCAAAACTGTTTTGGCATTTTAGAGGTCTAACATTCAAATAAGTAGATTGCCTCCTTCATAATGTAAATGTAAGGCATACCAAAAATCCAAAGCAAATATATCTTCCACTTCTCCTCTCAATTTCTAACGGCTGTTAACTGCTCCTGAACAAATCAGCTCGATTGCTAAAGTAGCCACAAATTATGCTTGCTTTCTTAGTTAAAGTACAGTTCAATTTTCATGAACTCTGTGTACATATTAGTAAAGCATAATCTAATATAATGGGGTTTGAGCTGTAATAGCATAGCAGAAAAAAAAGAGATAGCTTTTATAATCCTAAATAAAAGGAAATAATGAAAAGCTGATAGCTGTTTCCAACGGGGAGCTTCTTGGTAACCCCTCGGCAATTAGAGTAGGTCCAATGCTACCTAACACATACAGACAAGACCTAGAAAGGTAATAATGAATGTGAAGCTGGAAGTTAGTCTTTGCAATCAACATCGGATATCATAAGTATTCAATCATTAATTTCATACTGGGAAATTTCAGTGAAAATGAAAGGACATTAAGAACGCCTGAAAACTATGATGAAACAAATGTTCTGATTGCCTTGAGTCGTCCACAGATCATGGCCTCCTTTAGCAAGAAGTGACTGTAAAAATCTATCAACATAAAAGAAAAAAACCCGTTGTAGCCAATGAATTCCATATATTTCTACTTTTTCTTAATTACTTATCATGTATGTGGGGGGGATTCTTTTTTAATACCCCATGCTGTCTTTCTTTATATCAATTGTTACTCGGCCGGGAAAAAGGAGTGAACACAACAAACCCGTTTTCTATCTGAATAAGGATACTTCTGATGGCCTTTTCATTCCCATCAGTTAACAGAACTTCTTTGACATCTGCAGAAATAGCAACCTGAAAAAAAAAAAAAAAGGAGCACAGCAAACAATGAGCAAATATGCTTGTCTGTGTGGAAGTGAAGACAGGAGTGACAAGCCTTCAGTATCATGCTTCCTCACCTATTTCTCTGTAACAATCTTCAATCTTTTTTCATTTTATGTCTGCATTATTTTAATCATTCAATCAAATCAGTCAATACTTTTATCATTCCATTTGCGGGAGCCTCTATCTTGCTATCATTCTGTTCGGTAATTGCATTGTGACAGCGGATGATGGTATTCTGAGAGGCTTTCATTTGTGGGCTTCTGTTTATCTAGTAGAGCCATCATACAAGGCTGTCACTCTGCCTTTCAGCTTGCTTCTGTCTGACTGCCTGATGCCCTTCATATAACTTTGCATTGCAGGCAGATGGCTTTGTGAGGGTAATTTTTTTGTGAGCTTTGACATGCTCGCACATTGGGCTGTAACCTCGACACATTGTGTAAGAGCGACAGGTTTGTCAAATGCCAATCAGTGTAACAATATGCTTTTATTTGTAGAGACATAAAAACTTGTCTAATGCACTGTGCTGCTACATAATATCTCCTGAATACATGACTCAGAACCCAGAGAATGGGGAACGACGTTCCTGAATGGCCAATCTAATTCAAAAGAATCTAATTACTGAGCGCTCTGGATCATGTTTGTTGGTGTAATAATGCAGGCAAAACATTAGCAGCTATATCATGGTGCTCCAACTGTGATTCGCTGGGCTATTCCTGTATCTTAGCAAATGGGACTATAATCTGAAAAAAAAAATGCTTTTGCTATGGCAAAGAAAGACCGTGCGAGGCCTGGAATGTCACAACAAGCGATATTGACTACACTGAGGTAAAATGTTTCTGCTCATCGAGGCAACCATAAAATCAATATGATCCGAAAGTAAGTCAATCTAGAAGGTCTCTCAAGACTCGGCAGCTTGACCGCAGCTGATGCTGTTGACGGTTCTCTGACCCAGCCGTTGGAGGCCCTGGAACATTTTTCCTTTTGTTCCTCCCTCTGAATGGGATTGGAATTGAGAAAAGACCTACCATGAGCCCAGCCAAGCATGTCATGCCACCCCCTAGCTCACACACAGCAAGGTCCCTGAAAGAGAGAAAAGAAATGGTAGAACCCATACAAATTAGATGAAAATGGTCAGAGAGAGATATATGTTACAAGAACAAATTGCCATCTGCAGTAAGAACGGCGCTACCAGGAAGTTGTGGAGACATGACTAGGCTACCTCATGTTGCTTTGCGTTTTAAAAATAATTATGAAATAGAAAAGTCACAAAGCAGGCAAATCAGTGGGGGTTCCCTCATTAGTGTTCACTGCAACATTACCACCGCTGAGCTGAAAAATCTGAGAAGGTTCCCTTTTTTTCCCTTGTCAATGGCGCTGTCTTTTAGAACTAAACTAGCTAGAGTAGCGAAAGATAATTGTTAGGAAAGGGTAACACTGTTAATCCACATTCATTCCTTCAAAAACAGTTAGACAAGTAAATGAAGAACATATATGAGTGTGTATATACCTATATTATAGTCACATACACACAACACATGCACACACACATACACACACTCAAATAAATGCAATCTTGGATTTTTTGGAAAAAAAATTTTTTTTTTGGAAAGAAAAAACCACGCTGAAACATTTTGGAAAGCCGAACTGCCCCCATAAAGAACAATTACACAAAGAGCATTTAGCAATTAACACTTAAATCACAATTGACCCCAACACAACACAGTGAATAAACAATGCAGGGACATAATATGGTTAAGCCAGCAAACCCGGGCCTAAGTAATGACCGGGCTCTGACTTCACCGCTCCAAAGTAAAGCGGCTCAGAGTAAAAGCTGACAGTCTAGTGTGGCACTCTGCACACACCTTTCCCTTTGTGCCCAAATATCAGCCCTCAACGTGTGACATTCTTACCCTGGCCCCACTGCTCCATGACTAGAGCTCCAGTCAAGCTTAAGCACAGCGATAAGAGCAAATGCCAGACTCCCAGAGCAGCTCTGTAGCCCAAATTCAAAACTGCCCTGTTCTTATTTCATATGCTTAAACCCCTAAGATTGTTCCTTCTTTCCAGGCTGGGAAGTTTATTACCTCGAGAGGAGAAAAGAAACAGAGAGAGGGAATTGAAAAGGAGGGAGAGGTGCAAAGAGAGGGAAGAGGAAGAGAAGCCAAGCAAGGATATTCATATTCCGGAATACACTTAATGAGTATTTAGTTGTTCAAAGCCATTATAGACTGGTTGGTAAATATGAACCCACAGAGATTTAAAAAATACATATTATTGACCCAATCTTGTAAATATATATTGTTAAAACACACACCATGATCACTAATGACTTGTCTGGAATCATAATGCGCTATTCAGGAAGTAGATATTGGATGACTTTTATAAAATGAGAATTAAAAATGAAAAATCCTTATTTTCTGGATCTACCAAACAGCTTCAGAGTTTTCAAATAAAAGGAGGTTTATTTTCCTTTTCCTAAATCACATCCATGGGTGTGATCTATAATGCACATTGACAACTGAAAACATCTATTTCCATAGCATGGATCTGCAATAGTAATTTATATTTTACAAATACATATTGTTAGATATATAAAATACCTTTAAAACCAGGGTGGAATGGCATCTTTAAATAATAGCTGTGGGGTACTTATTTATCAAATATTCTGTAGTGATTTCCTTAGCGGAAGTTTAAAGAATGTCTTTATTGTGGTTCAGTTGTGTGTGGTTTTTTGTTGTTGTTGTTTTTTTTTTTTTTTTTTTTTTGACCTTCACAATCAGGGAGGATTGATTGGAGCTTCACTTTTGTTTCTCCAAAATCAAAGTGAAATAAAATGCCTTGAGTGAAAATCAAAAGCCTTTGACATATAGCAAAAAGCTTGCTGTGCAATATTAGTACCCAAAGGCAATTCAGATTTCTTTTCAGAAGCAACATGTTTTCACCATGAACTTTTTCCTTTCCTTTCTCTTTCTTTTCTTTCTTTCTTATATTTCTTTAACAACTTAATTTGAAGAATGTAATCACAGCAATCTTTAATATGCATATCTAATACCCATAATGGGCTAAAAAAATATCTTTTTAAGAGCAGCTTTGTACCTGAATATATTACTGTGCTTGAGGCAGTAGTAAGCCAAAACCTCTTCAGATGGCCAGATGCCTGGAAAACACAAGAGGATACACTTTTTGATTACAGGAGTCTGTTCTATAATCATTCTCTATAGTCGTTCTCTTAAGAAATGGCTTTTAAAAATAATGTTCAGTACAAGCTATTTCAACTTGAATCAAACTTAACATAATTATTACTTGTAATATGTCATATCAAATGAGTTTCTTTTGTTGTTGATTATAGCTCTTTTCCCAGAAAAACAGCAAAATATCCTAAATAATTTTTACCAAATTTCAATCACAAGACAGCAAAAACAATAACCACAAACTACAAATACTAAAAGACCAATTTGAATGGTATTTCAGGTAGCTGATCTTGTACATGTGAACCTTCTTTTCAGCTAATTCATAAGCGTCAGTTGAAGACCTACTGTATGTGCAGCCCACGTGAGGCAAAAATAAATGGAAAAAACCCTTGCAAAGGAAACATCTGAGGTCCTTTTTCTTTGATTCCATCCTAATGTTTTCAAATACGCATAATTATTTCCTTTCTTCAATTAGAAATATCAAACTAGAGATTAAGAAATTTAAATTTCACTAACTTTGGCACCTTTTTAAATTTGATAATAATCCTCCGCACTAAACTCCATGGATGGGCATTTTCTTTAAATCATCACTTGTAAATCATTTCTTTTGAAGACTTAGGAGTCTTCATGAATGAATATGAATTCCTTAAAAAAAAAAAAAGATAAACATTCTTGGAAATGATAGTCCCTAGTGGTTATCACAGAGTAGTCTGGTTGCAAGTGCTTTTAATTTTTTTCTTTACACTTTTCATATTTTCCAAAGATTTTTACAATGAATGTGCATCACTCCTATGATCAGAATAAATCACGTCATAAAAATTATGTTTTCGCCAAGGGTTCAGATTCAAAGGTCAGGCAGGGCACTAGCATCCTGCTCTGCCTGAGGTTGAGAAGGCCCTGCCGTCCTGGGAAAGAGCAATGAATGTTCACTGCCTTTGCACTAAACTCTTTTCTAATGGGTCTGGATGCAAAGTTGGAACACCTCATGAGACCTACTTTTTTTTTTCTTCTAGATGCATCTCCAGCTTCAAAGAGTGAGAAATCCAAGCACTCCAGAGAAGAGGATGTCAAAGAAATGGTAAGTGAAATCCTAAGGGAATCAGTGGGTAAATATATGAACAGCAAAGATATTGACCCCATAAAAGCATCTGCTGCAGGAAAGTCTGGTCAAGTGTAAACTGGCTCAGCCTCCATGGTATTTCTGGTAAAAATGAGTTTGGGAGAGAACAAAGTAAATCAGCAAGCAGTGTTGGGAGTCATATTTAGGAGAAAAGTCAGAAAGGCAGTGGAGTATAGCAATTAAGATCACATGTGCTTTGGAACCAGACTTTTTGGGCTCCAGTCCTAGCTTGTTGGGCTGCATTCCCTCACTAGTGACCTTGGGTAGTTTACTTAACCTCTCTGTTCCTCAGATTCCTCATCTGTAAAATAATGTAATTGTAGTATCGACTTCATAGAATTAGGATTAAAAAGTAAAATACATGAACTGTATTTAGAGCAGTTCCTAACTCATAATGAGCTCAAAGAAAAATTTGTTGTTAATGTTATTCTTCTGCTATGGGGGATAAAAGAGTAGAAGAGAAAATCTGTGGACCTCGACAGCTATCCCAATGACCAGAATAGATGGAGAACCATTTTGTCCTTCTACCCGTGAACCTTGCCACGGCCCCCGAATCCTAATATCTGGCATACCTCCACATTAAAAGAACTCTGTAAAGAATAAAGTATGTAATAAAATTCTCTGAAGGAAGAGCCCAAGACAGTGTTCTACACCAAGTATATATAATCATTAGAATAATGAATTTCTTTATGCCTTTAGTAGATGGTTTTGAGGTTTAAAAAAATAATGATAGGGGAAGGGTATTTAACTAAAATGCAAGCTTTGATTAAGTTCAAAAATGTGACTTCTAAAATACATAGTCTTTTAAGAGAGTTTTATAATTTTCTCAAAAAATTATAGAGGTTGATTTTTAACTAAATTAAATACAAAAATATGCAGAACAAAGTTAATAAAATCACCTAAAATTTCACCACTAGTCTATTACACCTCGTAACACTTTGGACATCATTTCAAAAACAGCTTTCTAAGCACAAAGATATTTTACACAAATGGGATCTTATCAGGCAGGTATTTGACAATCTGATTTTGCCTTACTCAATATGTGATGGATAACTTCCCATGACAATAAAAATATACTTGCATCATTACATATATGTATATTTTTAAGTAGACTCCACACCCAGCATGGACCCCAACACAGGGTCTAAATTCACGACTGTGAGATAGAGATCAAGAGTCGGATGCTTAACTGACTGAGCCACCCAGGCACCCCCTTGCATCATTATTTTTAATGACTGATTTTATGTCTGCATCAAAATTTGTTTAACCAATTTCTTCCTGAGAGGCATTTAAGTTATTTTGAGTTTTTGATATATGAGATTATAAACACTGTTATAATGAAGACACATTTTCCCCCCAAAATATGATTTTTCTCCATAGGTCCAATAACTAGAAATGGGAAATCTGGTCAAGGGTTAAATGCCTATCACATATATCAAACCATCTTCCAAAACATTTGCACCAAACTATACCTCCAAATAAGAGTGTTTATTTCCTCAAGGTCTTGCCAAGGTGAGGTTTTGGCAACCTATTTTATTTTTGCTCATCTATTCAGGTTTCGAAAGTTATCTCAGGGCAAATCGACAGCACAATGACATACTACTTCACTCCTTCTTCTAGGATGGCTATAACCAAAAAAATCAGACAACAGCAAATGTTGGCAAGGATGAGGGGAAATTATGTAAAATGTTGCAGCTGCTTTGGAAAACAGTCTAGCAGTTCACCGAAAATTTAAATGTAGAATTAACATATGGCCCAGTAATTCCACTCGTAGGAATGTACCCAAGAGAAAATATGTCCAAACAAAAACTTATAGCAGCATTATTCATAAGAGCCAAAAAGCAGCATTATTCATAAGAGCCAAAAAGCAGAAACAACCCAAATGTCCATCAAGTAATGAGCAGATAAATAAAATGTAGTATGGCTATGTAGTACACTATTATTTGGCAATAAAAGAAATAAAGTATTGATTCATGCTACAACATAGATGGAGCATGAAAACATTATGCTGAGTGAAAGAAGCCCAACACAAAGAACCACATGTTGCATTATCCATTTGTATGAAATGTCCAGAATAGACAAATTCATAGAGACAGATTATACAGTGGTGGTTGTCTAGGGCTGGGTGGTTGAGAGTAAATGTCAAGTGACCTTTTAGAGGTGATGAAATATTTTAAAATTGTAGTGATGGTTGCACAACTCTGTGAATATACTAAAAATCACTGGGTGAATTGTGTAGTATGTGAATTATATCTCAATAATGCTGTTATTTTAAACAGTTTTGTCATTTCTATTTGTGGAAATATAATGGTCTTTTTTTAAAAGGATTTTATTTGTTAATAACTTATTCAGAGTTTAAAGAGACATTGAGTTCTGTGAGAATGATTAAGACAAAAATTAAAACAAATGAATATTATTAAGATTAGTACACAGTCCCTCTGACCCAGTCTTTCTCCTTTCTCAGAAACTACTACTTCCAATTCTTTTAGTTGATTCTTCTGGTAATTAATTTCATATTTCTACATATGTTTGTATTGTTACTTCTTGATTTTTCAGTTTTAGACAAAATCTATTGACCCCCCAGTATGGAAGATAAGCTTTTTTCACTTTCATCTGTACTCCTCTCCCCGTGTCACACACACCGTGCTCCTTACCCATCCACCATCACTATTGTCCTATTATAGATATATTATAATTTGGTAATATACTGTCATCGTCAATTTCATTATGACCATGAAATAATACTGAGCCATGTAGTAAACTATGATTGCTTTTTTGCTCATGTATAATTCCCCCCTCCATGGAGTTTATAATTGCCTATTTTTTTTTCATTTGCTAAGGTTTTTATTCGGTCTCAAAATCCAGTTGTCAATTTCCCCTCTCAGTGCATTCATTCCCATCAGGTGTTCTATCAATCTCATGAGAAAATCTCTCCTGGTGCCTTCTGACTTGTCTGTCTGGACTGAATGTCCTCTATGCTTGGTATACAGCTGATACCCTAGAATCAATCTTCATTTCACTCCAGACTCCCTTTTGTCCTTCTCCTGTATCCCATCTCTTGTTTCTTCTAGCCTTTGTCTTTTCTTGGTTTATGTTCTCATTTTAGTGCAAGACATCCCCCAAGAGCTTCTTGAAAAAAATGTGTGTAAGAGGTAAATATTTGGGAACTTCTATTATTCAGTGGGTAATTTCAATTTGGAAATTCCATATTCTTCAGATCTTGGAACGTTTCTTGGGAAGTTCCATTCATTATTTTATGACCTCCATTTTTACCTGTCCTCCTTATCTAGAATTCTTATTATTTAGATGTTGAATCTCCTGAACTCTAATATTCTTATCTTTTCTTTCCTACTTTCTATCTCTTACTGTTTTCTTTTTTTTCTGTTTTCTACTTTCTTGGAAATTTCCTCAAATTTATCCTCCAACCTTTTTATTGTACTTCTCATTTATGCTATTTTAAAAAATTTATTTATTTATTTATTTATTTATTTATTTATTTATTTATTTATTTATGAGAGAGAGAGTGCAAATGAGTCAGGGGAGGGTCAGAAGGAGAGGGAGGGAGAGAATCCACAAGCAGATTCTTCTCTGAATATGGAGCCCAATTTGGGGCTTGATCCTGGGACCCTAAGATCATGACCTGAGCCAAAAAAGGTGGACACTTAACTGAGTCATCCAGGTGCCCCACATTTATGCTAGTTTTAATGGTAGTTCTCTGAATATTTCTTTTTTAGAGCATCTTATTCCTGTTTCATGGATCATCTTTTAAAAATTATTTGAAAATATTAATTACAGTTTTTCTTATCCTTACATAGCCTATTTTCTTCATGTTGCTTTTTTTCCTAT